GAGCTGCTGCTGCTCCTCGATCAGAGCCATCGCAATCAGATGCAGCACCTGAACACACCACCAGAGGGAGATATAACACACACACAACACACACACAACACACACACAACACAGAGGGAGATATAACACACACACAACACACACACACACACACACACACACACACACACACACACAACACACACACACACCACACACACACACACACACAACACACACAGGGAGGAGATATAACACACACACAACGCACACACCACACACACACACACACACAGTACACACCAGAGGGAGATATACACACACACACACACACACACACACACACACCACCAGAGGGAGATATAACACACACACAACACACACACACACACACACACACCACCAGAGGAGATATAACATACACACACACACAGAGGGAGATATAACACACACACACACACACACACACACACACACCACACACACACACACACACAGAGGGAGATATAACACACACACAACACACACACACACACACACACACACACACACACCACAACACACACACACACACCACAGAGGGAGACACACACACACACACACACACACCACACACACAGAGGGAGATATAACACAGTGCCACACACACACACACAGGGGAGATATAACACACACACACACACACACACACACACCACGCACGCACACACACACACACACCGACACACACACCACACACACACACCACACACACACACACACACCACCAGAGGGAGCTATAAAACTCTCAGTTTAGCCCATGCACACAGATTCTGAGGCCCACTGCAGTAGCAGTAGTAGTAGTATTTGCAGTACTAGTAGTAGTAGTAGTATTTGCAGTAGTACTGCAGTACTAACTCTCTGGAGCATACTCTCAGTCCAGCCCGTGGACACAGGTTCTGAGGCCCACTGCAGGACGGTGGACTCCAGGCTGAGGAGAACATCACACTGCAGAAGGTTCACCAGACTGGCAAACAGAGGACAGAAGAGAGGAGGGACCGGAGGGACCAGAGCCAGACCAGGATCAGGACCAGGACCAGGACCAGGACCAGACCCAGACCCAGACCCGGAGCCTGACCCGGAGCCTGACTGGGAGCGGGCCTTCCTCTGTGCCTCCTCTGCCTGAAACAAAAACAGAATCGGGTCAGAACCAGTATGTAAACAAGTGTCCAGCTATAGCAGGAGGGAGCGGGCGCTTAGCAACGCTGTCAATCAAACATGTTGCTAATACTAGTGGGAGGAACCTCAGCGAAAGAAGGCGCCTGATTGGTCGGCTGTGGTAATACTCACCTTTGATTGGTCAGCGCGGCTGTAGTGGTGGAAGTACAGGTTAAAGTGTTTGGTCCATTCGGGCTTCAGCTCGTACAGACCCCGCCCCGTCACACCGGGCTTCCTGTACAAGACCAGAACCAAGTCAGAACCAGAACCAAGACTTAGCCAGATCTAACCCAGGACTAAACAAGGTCAGAACCAGGTGTGGTTCTGAGAACAGCAGGTGTTCAGTAAAGTGCAGAAGTGTGATCTGACCTGAAGGAGGCGACACTGTCGATGACCCGCTCCAAACCAGTCTCTTTGTTTCCCTGAAAAACAAACCAAAAACCATCTCACCTCTCACAGAACCACCAGAACCTCTCACAGAACCATCAGAACCTCTCACAGAACCATCAGAACCTCTCACAGAACCACCAGAACCTCTCACAGAATCACCAGAACCTCTCACAGAACCATCAGAACCTCTCACAGAACAAGCGGAGTTTGAGGACGTGACTGAGGGAGTATGATGTCAGCGCTGGGAGTAAAAGGCGCATTATGGGTACTGTAGTCGTGTGACGTCTGGAGTCAGAGGTGCATTATGGGTACTGTAGTCGTGTGACGTCTGAAGTCAGAGGTGCATTATGGGTACTGTAGTCGTGTGACGTCTGGAGTCAGAGGTGCATTATGGGTACTGTAGTCGTGTGACGTCTGGAGTCAGAGGTGCATTATGGGTACTGTAGTCGTGTGACGTGGGTTGGGTCAGGGATGTCTCCTCAGACTCAAACATGGCGTTGTGTTGTTTTCATGTTTTCATGTTTCCTGTGCTCATTGGCTCCTCAGATGTTTTTACTTCCTGAATAATTCTTAGCTCCGCCTACTGTGACATCAGAAAGGTGCAGTTCTGACCAATCAGAGCGAGCGCTGCTGATGCTCTGACAAAGTGAACTTTTGAGCTCTTTGATGATTTAAAAATGTTTAAAAGTTTGTGTTGTAAAAATACAGAAGAATCCTACAAAACCTGCAGTTTGAACTCAGAGAAAATGCACTGGTGACCTGTGGTCAGGTCAGAGGTCAGAGGTCAGAGGTCAGTGGTCTGGTGATGGGGTCAGGGGTCAGAGGTCAGATAATCAGACTCACGTTCTCGGGCAGAGCTTTGATGAGTTCGCTGTGGGCCATGGGTCTGATGCAGAGCTGATGAATTATTTCTCTCCTCACCTCCTCCAGCAGCTCCACCTGCCCCACGCCGGGCACGAACCGCTCGCCTGAAACACACACACCACATTCAGATGCCCCACAGTCAGATGCCCTCCCCGTGCGTCAGATGCCCTCCCTCCTCACCTATGACCATGATGATGAGGTGCAGCATCTCCTCGATCAGAGTGTTGTTCTGCTGAAGCACATCCTGAAAAATATTTATTTAAACTGATTTAAAGCCGTCCAGGTTAAGTCCAGTTTAAGTCCAGGTTAAGTCCAGGTTAAGTCCAGGTTAAGTCCAGGTAAAGTCCAGTTTAAGTCCAGGTAAAGTCCAGTTTAAGTCCAGTTTAAGTCCAGGTAAAGTCCAGGTAAAGTCCAGGTTAAGTCCAGTTAAACTGGAGGATTTAGGTTTATCTGAGCGTCGGTACCTTGTTGCTCTCTCTGAGTCTCTTTCGTGCATCGGTGGAGCTAAAAATGTGGAACAGTTCAAATCGACTCAGAACGATCATCAGAAAGTGATTTGGATCCATCATCGACGCTCCCACCTGAAACAGAGAAACCAGGTCCAAACCAGGTCCAAACCAGGTCCAAACCAGGTCCAAACCAGGTCCAAACCAGGTCCAAACCAGGTCCAAATCAGGGTCTAAACCAGGGTCCAAACCAGATCTAAACCATACAAACATATGTCATACACACTCAGGTCCTTACACAGACTCAGGTCATACCTGGAGCATGATCAGGTCTTTATCAAACATCTCCACTCGACACTTCACATTGTGATAATAATAAATCTGAAACATACAAGACATGAGGATATATCTGAGACATTTACAGACAGAACAGGCTAAATCCTAAACCCTAAACTCTAAACCCAAGCCCAACCCTAAACCCCAACCCAGACCCGTCACACTCACAGACGCGTCAGTTTGTCACCGTGGTAAAAGCACATTAAACGAGGAGCTCAGAGGTTCTACTCCACCGTGACACTCCTGGATATTTAATCATCTAAGTAAGGACATTTACTCCACAGAACTGCTTCAAGAGTTTAGTCATGGTCTTTACCTGTCTTTACATGGTCTAGTTCATGTCTAGTCCTAGTTTAGTCCTGGTCTAGTTCATGGTCTAGTCCTGGTCTAGTTCACGGTCTAGTCCTGGTTTAGTACCTGGTTGATGAGGGAGAATCCGTTGCGCCTCCACATCCCAGCATGCACCTGTGCACAGAGCACGAGGCAGCGCAGCGGTAACTCGATGAGCAGAGGAGGACTCAGCTCCCCCTGAAACACAAACCGGGTTTAGTCCGGGTTTAGTCCGGGTTTAGTCCGGGTTTAGTCCGGGTTTAGTCCGGGTTTAGTCCGGGTTTAGTCCGGGTTTAGTCCGGGTTTAGATGGAGGTTTGTTCTTACAAGAGGCAGCTGCTCGGGGAACCGTGAGGCGACTTCAGTGCGACTCAGGAGAACGTGAAGCCCTGAGACACAAACAGGAAGAACATCATCACTGTGACCTCTGACCTCCTTAGGGTGTGTGTACAGGTGTGTGTGTGTACAGATGTGTGGGCAGGTGTGTGTGTGTACAGGTGTGTGTGCAGGTGTGTGTGTGTACAGGTGTGTGTGTGTACAGATGTGTGGGCAGGTGTGTGTGTGTACAGGTGTGTGTACGTACAGGTGTGTGTGTACAGGTGTGTACAAGTGTGTGTACAGGTGTGTGTGTGTACAGGTGTGTACAAGTGTGTGTACAGGTGTGTGTGTGTACAGATGTGTGTACAGATGTGTGTGTGTACAGGTGTGTGTACGTACAGATGTGTGTGTGTACAGGTGTGTGTGTACAGGTGTGTGGACAGGTGTGTGTGTGTACAGATGTGTGTACAGGTGTGTGTACAGATGTGTGTACAGGTGTGTGTACAGGTGTGTGTACAGGTGTGTGTGTGTACAGGTGTGTACAGGTGTGTGTGTGTGTACAGATGTGTGGACAGATGTGTGGACAGGTGTGTGTGTGCACAGGTGTGTGTGTGGACAGGTGTGTGTACGTACAGATGTGTGTACAGGTGTGTACAGGTGTGTGTGTGTACAGGTGTGTGTACGTACAGGTGTGTGTACGTACAGGTGTGTGTACGTACAGGTGTGTGTACAGGTGTGTGTGTGTACAGGTGTGTGTGTGTACAGGTGCGTTACCTGCCAGCATGCGGCACAGCGGCAGGTGGATGGAGACTTTGTCCTGAGACACCTGGTACCTGAAGGTCTCGACCATGTGACCCGCCAGGCTCAAGCTGATTGGCTGTTCCCCATCAGCCAATCCGCTGAGACACTGACTGAGCGCGCTCAGACACCGGCGGTACGCCTCCATGAGGACGCGCTCCTGAAACATGTCACAGACCAGGTTTAGTCCCGTTGAGTCCTGCTTTAGTCCTGCTTTAGTCCTGCTTTAGTCCTGCTTTAGTCCCTGTTATAGTCCAGGTTTAGTCCTGCTTTAGTCCCCATTATAGTCCTGGATTAGTCCTGCTTTAGTCCCTGTTATAGTCCTGCTTTAGTCCTGCTTTAGTCCCTGTTATAGTCCTGGTTTAGTCCCTGTTATAGTCCCGGTTTAGTCCTCACATCAGTCCTGGTCCAGTCCTGGATCATGGTGCTGATGGGGGTGAGTTTCATCTGGAGAGTGAACGCCGCCTCCCACTCGGGCTCCATCTCAATGTGCTGCCCGACCTGCCGCACCACCGCGTCCATACCCTAGGAGAAAACACACACACACACACACACACACTACAGCATCCATACCGTAGGAGGAAACACACACTACAGCGTCCATACCCTAGGAGGAAACACACACTACAGCGTCCATACAGCGTCCATACCCTAGGACACCCTAGGAGGAAACACACACACACACTACAGCATCCATACCCTAGGAGGAAACACACACTACAGCGTCCATACCCTAGGAGAAAACACACACACACTACAGTGTCCATACCCTAGGAGGAAACACACACTACAGCGTCCATACCCTAGGAGGAAACACACACTACAGTGTCCATACCCTAGGAGGAAACGCATACTACAGTGTCCATACCCTAAACAGACACACAGTCACTACAGTGTCCACTACAGAGGGGGGGGGTTATAGGACAGAGGGGGCGGGGTTACGGGACAGAGGGGCGGGGTTACGGACAGAGGGGGCGGGGTTACCTGCATACAACGCAGAAGTTCCAGAAACGCCTCAAATCCATCCAAAAACTTGACTCTGAGCTCATCAGTCCAGTCTGAAGTACGACTGATCAGAACATACCTGAGAAACAAAGAGAGTAAGACCAGGACCAAGGGTTAGGGTTAGGGACTAAGACCTGGTCCAGTCCTGGTCCAGTCCTTACTTAAGGTCCCCGATGAGGCTCTGGACCCGTCCGAACTTGAAGGCCTGCTGAGCCGTGTATCTGTCGAACTGGAACCGTCCCTGAAGGTCTCTGTGTCTGAGATGATCCAAGAACGTCCTGATGATCACAGACATGAGGTTCTGCTCCAGCATCAGGACCCGGGCCTGGACCAGAGAGACCAGGGTTAGACCGAGACTGGGACAGGTGTTTGTGACAGGTGTGTGAGGACAGTGTCTGGGGAGGGGGAGACCCACCAGTGAGGGCACAGTGAAGATCTGCACTGACAGGTCGGTGATGGAAAACTCTCTGTCGTGATCGTCCTTCACATAATCACTCTGCAGACGCTCGTAGATCTGAAACAGCACAGTATCTGAAGTACAAGTATCTGAAGTACAAGTATCTGAAGTACAAGTATCTGAAGTACAAGTATCTGAAGTACAAGTATCTGAAGTACAAGTATCTGTAGTACACAAGTATCTGAAGTACAAGTATCTGAAGTACAAGTATCTGTAGTACACAAGTATCTGAAGTACAAGTATCTGAAGTACAAGTATCTGAAGTACAAGTATCTGTAGTACACAAGTATCTGAAGTACAAGTATCTGAAGTACAAGTATCTGTAGTACACAAGTATCTGAAGTACACAAGTATCTGAAGTACACAAGTATCTGAAGTACACAAGTATCTGAAGTACAAGTATCTGAAGTACAAGTACAAGTATCTGAAGTACAAGTATCTGAAGTACAAGTATCTGAAGTACAAGTATCTGTAGTACAAGTATCTGTAGTACACAAGTATCTGAAGTACACAAGTATCTGAAGTACAAGTATCTGAAGTACAAGTATCTGTAGTACACAAGCATCTGAAGTACACAAGTATCTGAAGTACAAGTATCTGAAGTACAAGTATCTGAAGTACTGAAGTACAAGTATCTGTACACAAAGTATCTGTAGTACACAAGTATCTGTAGTACACAAGTATCTGAATACACAAGTATCTGAAGTACAAGTATCTGAAGTACACAAGTATCTGAAGTACAAAGTATCAAGTACAAGTACAAGTATCTGAAGTACACAAGTATCTGAAGTACACAAGTATACAAGTATCTGAAGTACAAGTATCTGAATCAGTACAGAAGTATCGAAGTACAAGTATCTGAAGTACACAAGTATCTGAAGTACAAGTATCTGAAGTACAAGTATCTGTAGTACAAGTATCTGAAGTACAAGTATCTGAAGTACACAAGTATCTGAAGTACACAAGTATCTGAAGTACACAAGTATCTGAAGTACACAAGTATCTGAAGCACAAGTACCTGTAGTACACAAGTATCTGAAGTACACAAGTATCTGAAGTACAAGTATCTGTAGTACACAAGTATCTGAAGCACAAGTATCTGTAGTACACAAGTATCTGAAGTACAAGTATCTGTAGTACACAAGTATCTGAAGCACAAGTATCTGTAGTACACAAGTATCTGTAGTACACAAGTATCTGAAGTACACAAGTATCTGAAGTACACAAGTATCTGAAGTACACAAGTATCTGAAGTACAAGTATCTGAAGTACAAGTATCTGAAGTACACAAGTATCTGAAGTACAAGTATCTGTAGTACACAAGTATCTGAAGCACAAGTATCTGTAGTACACAAGTATCTGAAGTACAAGTATCTGTAGTACACAAGTATCTGAAGCACAAGTATCTGTAGTACACAAGTATCTGAAGTACACAAGTATCTGAAGTACAAGTATCTGTAGTACACAAGTATCTGAAGCACAAGTATCTGAAGTACACAGGTATCTGAAGTACACAAGTATCTGAAGTACACAAGTATCTGAAGTACACGTATCTGAAGTACACAAGTATCTGAAGTACAAGTATCTGAAGTACACAAGTATCTGAAGTACAAGTATCTGAAGTACACAAGTATCTGAAGTACACAAGTATCTGAAGTACAAGTATCTGAAGTACACAAGTATCTGTAGTACACAAGTATCTGTAGTACACAAGTATCTGAAGTACAAGTATCTGAAGTACAAGTATCTGAAGTACACAAGTATCTGAAGTACACAAGTATCTGAAGTACAAGTATCTGAAGTACAAGTATCTGAAGTGTACAAGTATCTGAAGTACACAAGTATCTGAAGTACAAGTATCTGAAGCACAAGTATCTGAAGCACAAGTATCTGTAGTACACAAGTATCTGAAGTACACAAGTATCTGAAGTACAAGTATCTGTAGTACACAAGTATCTGTAGTACACAAGTATCTGAAGTACACAAGTATCTGAAGTACACAAGTATCTGAAGTACAAGTATCTGAACAAGTATCACAAGTATCAAGTATCTGAAGTACAAGTATCTGAAGTACACAAGTATCTGTAGTACACAAGTATCTGTAGTACACAAGTATCTGAAGTACAAGTATCTGAAGTACAAGTATCTGAAGTACACAAGTATCTGAAGTACACAAGTATCTGAAGTACAAGTATCTGAAGTGTACAAGTATCTGAAGTACACAAGTATCTGAAGTACACAAGTATCTGAAGTACAAGTATCTGAAGCACAAGTATCTGAAGCACAAGTATCTGAAGCACAAGTATCTGTAGTACACAAGTATCTGTAGTACACAAGTATCTGAAGTACACAAGTATCTGAAGTACAAGTATCTGTAGTACACAAGTATCTGAAGTACACAAGTATCTGAAGTACACAAGTATCTGAAGTACACAAGTATCTGAAGTACACAAGTATCTGAAGTACACAAGTATCTGAAGTACACAAGTATCTGAAGTACAAGTACAAGTATCTGAAGTACAAGTATCTGAAGTACACAAGTATCTGAAGTACAAGTATCTGAAGTACACAAGTATCTGAAGTACAAGTATCTGAAGTACAAGTATCTGAAGTACACAAGTATCTTAAGTACACAAGTATATGAAGTACAAGTAGCTGTAGAAGTAGTATTCATAATAGTATTTGTAGTATATGTACTATTTGTATTATTTGCGGGAACTGTAGTACCTGAGCAAAGTGCAGAGCAAACACTTTCTTGTACTGAGGATCCATGAGGAGACTGTTCATCAGCAGCTGGTGGTACACGACCCGAGCCCCTAAAGTACACAGAGTACTGCAGTATAAGTACACAGAGTACACGACCCGAGCCCCTAAAGTACACAGAGTACTGCAGTATAAGTACACAGAGTACACGACCCGAGCCCCTAAAGTACACAGAGTACTGCAGTATAAGTACACAGAGTACACGACCCGAGCCCCTAAAGTACACAGAGTACTGCAGTATAAGTACACAGAGTACACGACCCGAGCCCCGAAAGTACACAGGTGCATGTGTCAGGTGTGTGTGTGTGTGAGTGACAGGTGTGTGTGAGTGACAGGTGCGTGTGACAGGTGCGTGTGACAGGTGCGTGTGACAGGTGTGTGTGTGACAGGTGCATGTGTCAGGTGCATGTGTCAGGTGCGTGTGTGTGACAGGTGCATGTGACAGGTGCATGTGTCAGGTGCATGTGACAGGTGTGTGTGTGACAGGTGCATGTGTCAGGTGCATGTGTCAGGTGCATGTGACAGGTGCGTGTGTGTGACAGGTGCATGTGACAGGTGCATGTGTCAGGTGCATGTGACAGGTGCGTGTGTGACAGGTGCATGTGTCAGGTGCGTGTGTGTGACAGGTGCATGTGTCAGGTGCGTGTGTGTGACAGGTGCATGTGTCAGGTGCGTGTGTGTGACAGGTGCATGTGTCAGGTGCGTGTGTGTGACAGGTTCATGTGTCAGGTGCATGTGACAGGTGTTCATACCTTTCCACATCTTTGAGTCGTTGAGCATCAGTCGATCCACAAGAGTCCCGTCAGAACCAGAACCAGACTCCAGCGCCACAGAACACAGAACCCTCCTCAGGCCGTCTGTGATAAACAGAACCACATCAGAACCACATCAGAACCACATCAGAACCAAACAGAACCAAACAGAACCACATCAGAACCACATCAGAACCACATCAGAACCACATCAGAACTAAACAGAACCACATCAGAACCAAACAGAACCACATCAGAACCAAACAAAATCAAAAAGAACCAAACAGAACCACATCAGAACCAAACAGACCCAAACAGAACCATATCAGAACCAAACAAAACCAAAAAGAACCAAACAGAACCACATCAGAATGAAACAGAACCAAACAGAACCACATCAGAACCAAACAGAACCACATCCGAACCACATCCGAACCAAACATAACCACATCAGAATCAAATAGAACCAATCAGAACCAAACAGAACCAAACAGAACCAAACAGAACCATATCAGAACCACATCAGAACCAATCAGAATAGGTCTGGGCGATATGGATCAAAAAATATATCTCGATATATTTTGCTGTATCTCGATATACGATATATATCTGGATATATGTTCAAGAAAAAATAACCCCCTAAAACTGAAAACTGCAAAAACAAATCTGCCAATTCCACAAGGTCCTTTTTTTTTTTAAATTGAAGTGTAAGAGGTCGGCAGTTCATACAGGAACATTTAAGATTACAAAAAAAAACTAGTTACATAAATAATAATTTAACTGTAAAATAAAAGAAATAATACATATTTCCTTCTTTTCATTCATAAATAAAATGACTCAAAACAAGCTCATCTTTGCATTAACTCTGTTATCCAAACCAGAACCATGAGCTCATTCAGCAGAAGAAGCTCAGGATGTTCCTTATTTCAATAGATCCGTGTTATTATCCAGCGTGAGGATCTGAGGTTTAATCCCACAATCCACTGCAGATCAAACCCAACGATTCCAAACACTGTTGTACAAGTGACACTGCAGCAGATTATTCATTAAAATCTTCTGCATAAATAAACTTTACATTGCTAAACTTTACAATATATAAAGGATAACGACTCTAGATCCACATCAGCCTGTTTGAGATAATAATGTGTTTAATACAGTTTTGCGCGCGTGTGTTTACATTTTACAGAAACGAAACTTAAGCGCATGGCTCATTTGCATAAACAGCACTTCTCATGCAGCTCAGCTCGTTCAGCTTCTTTCGGGCTAAAGGACGCGACTCGGTGGAACATGAGGATGTGCTGCTGATGGTTTTGTCTGTAAATGGTGGAAAAGGTTCGTGGAGCTTGAAGCTTTTCACTGGCACCAACTTTCGGCGTTCACGGCGGTAGTGAGAAGTGAAGGAGACACGAGCGAACAAAATTAGGGAGGCAGCGGCGCGCGGGCGACGAGAGAGAAGGTAAACAAGCGAAGCGGCGAAATCAGAATTTAATATAAGCATTATATCGATATATACGATATGTCAGAATTCATATCTCGATATATTTAAAATATCGATATATCGCCCACCCCTACATCAGAACTAGAGTCTGACCGATATATCGATATATATGCTTGCTGATATGGCCAATATTTCACGTGGGCATGTGATACCTCGTTATAAAGCTTAGACTCTCTACATTATGTTCATTTAATCCAATTTACAGACAGATAAATGTCCTAATATGTGGCTCTGCATCAGTATTTATCTGCGGTGTAATTTGTCTGTGTCTGTGTCCGTACTGTCCCTGAACACAACCACCAGAGTGACGTCACTTCACTCGCGTGTGTTTGTTTACACCCGCAGCCGTGCGCAACATTGAGATTATATGCTTTTTCGGACAATCGGTTTGAGTCTGGATTAAAAGGACATTTATTAGTGCAGATTTGTGATGTGGGAGGAGCCTGTATGATGTGGGAGGAGCCTGTGTGAGCGGTGAGTGTTGGAAATATATCGACTTTGAAGCTAGTTTAGGTGTTGTTAGCGGTTAGCTGCTGTAGCTCCGCACATAAACAGTCTGTTTTCTATTGGTCTATTGTAAAGTGACTGTATTGTCCGTATATTTGTTACTGGACCAGCATTGATATGTAAATGAGCTGTGAATAGATGTGTGAATGATCCACATTTATGCAGATAATTAACTACCGCGGTGCGCA